TTCTTATTATGAGGTTAACATTAAACCCCACCCAGCAAAGATACAACTCCAACCAAGAGGCCTTGCAGCAGGCTTTGCAGAAGCACCTGTTCCCATCAAGCAGACATAAAGTTACAGCTGGAGGAAAACCAGAAGATCAAAGCTTCATTGAGCTTGAAGACCTACTTCTGGAAAGTTACGTTCTTGTGGTAGAGCACTGTCCCAACTCCAATGGTTGGATCACATCCATCTCAACATGCCTTCCCAGACCTATTTCTAGACAGACCCCCCTTGCAACGGAAAGAGGCGTGGAACAACCTACAAGTAGAAATAGGGCAGACGTAGAGTGACCCCCTTTCTGCAGAAAAGATGTGAAGGAGAGGAATACAGAGGCAAACGCACATGGCCATATGAGCATTTAGACTCCTAGTATCCCCCTTAGTACCCCCCATAATACTCCCCTATGTAATCCCCTTAAAGGAGTTTAGACTATAGCTCATGCGTCGCCATTTTGAGCCCTAATGGTCTGACGGTCAGGAATCATTCATTTCCGAGAGATGACTGCTTAGAGCTGCTAAACCCGCCTATCTACCTAGACCCTCCACCTGAGTGCCCTATTAGGGGCCATACATCCCCAATTAAGGGTACTAGAAGGCTCATGAGGGTCTTGGTAGAAATCGTTATCGCAGTTCGCGTCGCAGTACACCACCACTGCATCGTCTACAACTGCAAGCTACCTCTGCTTGTTTCGCTACTAGTATGAAGCACCCCCCACGCTCAACTTCAAATGCGTCCCCCAATATACCAGGCCAATTCGCGGGAATGTTACGTGTATCCCGAAGGGTTCAAGGACCCAAATCATAGGGTTTGAGGGCCAAAATACCATTGATATTGTAGTATTTGGGCCCTAAAACCCTATTCTTCGTGTCCTTGGACCCTTAGGGTATTGGGGGTTTCACATTCATAATATTATGAGCTAAAGTCTAAACTCCCAGTATCCCCTTCATTCAGGAGTTCAGACTATAGCTCATATGAGGAATTCCGGCTTCTGCCGAGGCGCTTCTGCGACATCCTCGCGTGGAATCGACCGGGACTCAGTGGGTACTTTATCGTCTACGCCGACCACCTGAGTCACTGCAAACTGGCACACATTTGTGGTTTTCCCACAGTTGGGAGTCCCTTGCTGGGGGGTCCCAACAACAAGGATTATAGTGTTTGGGGTCTGAATTAGGGTCCCCCTATTTTGGGTGACTACCACCTGAGGCAATCCAAACTGGCACACATGTATGGGAGTTCTCAAAAAGATCAATGGCCTAGGGACGTATGGAGTTCTAGGCAGATCTAAGCAAACACCTGCGAAAGATGACCATCCCTGGAATCTGAGAAGCCCCAAAGAGTGGGATTCAGGGATATTGAGAGTCTTTTTTTGCCACACATATTGAGAGTCTAGAGTTTAGGGTTTAGGGTCAGAGATATTGAGGGTTTCGAGTTTAACTGCTGCTAAAGCGGTGCTGTGCTTGTTTGCCCTGCAACTTCTGTCAGCATCAAACTTGGCGCATTGGACAGCTGACAAGGTATCACAGCTGCAGCATGTGCACCAGTCAACACTGAGTCGAAATTTCTCGCCTGATAAGTTGCTACTAGTATTGCAATCTATTTTTGCTATTTTCACCTATTGCTACTATCATTGCAGCAAAGTTGCTAGCGTCCGCTTCCCGCCTGGTTCGTTCAACAAGCCTGCGCCACATTCTGTCTGACAGAGGTCTCATGTCCTCTGGAGCTTTGAGATACGGGACTTTCTCAACAAAAATCTCTACGGGATCCCTTAGCAGGACCCCCAGAATCCCTAGTAATCCCTGTATACCTCGGGTCTCTAGGGAGAAGCTCTCTGAAAGAGAAGCCAACAAAAGTAGTCCTACCATGGGGACCCCAAACAGGAAACCCCAAGAATACGGTACGAATATGATAGGAATATACCTGCCGGGATCCTTATATTCCTATTCTATTCCCTAAAACCTGAACCCCTAAAGGTTCCCTGTTTGGGTCGCGGAAGCGAAGAAATGCAAGCCATCTCCCTGTAATACGGATTATACTATTTTGGAGTCTATACTGGGGTTGCCCCCTGTTTAGGGAAACTACCAGTTTCTGTAAGGGGGAATGACCCAAACTATTCGGCAAAAACTCAACGAGTCCAGTATCTGACGTGTGCCGACACCATACAGGCTCTTCGTTGCACGAGGGTGTCAATTATGCCCTGAAGCTTCGTGCCAAGCAGAAGAACAACTGCCTCTAAGAAAGTTGACAGCGACAGCAAGCTCCAAGCCCTGCTTTATTGCTCCACACAAGGGACTGCTTGCTCTCGCCTGTGCTGCTGGCAGCCAAGGTCTCTCTGTAAACAAACTCAGTAATGTGAGCTTGCATTCAACACAAGCCTGGTGACCCTCTTATTGGGTTCCTTTTGGCTACAGGTTATATTGCGGCACCTATAGGGGTACCAAAATGGGACCCTAATCTTGGGAACTACTGTTATGAAGCCCCCATCTCTCTGCAAGGCAGGCAGGAGTCTCACTCTGCAATCAAATCATACCAAATCTCTATGGTGAAAATGTGAACAGTTCCGCGAACCAGTTAGACGTGTCATTTCCGTCTTGGCTGCGGTGCGCGGACATGTGATTGAAAATGCTGGGGTGGGAACTGATGCCCAAATTTCCTGAATTTACTGGTGGTTAGTAGGGAAAATACACTACATAGGCACTGTATTGGGATTATCTTCCCTTATCCCCACCAGTAAGCTTCACAAAAAACTTACAACTTCAATTGCAGCCGCCTCCTGGATGCACGATGGTGTAGGTCAGTCCAGAATCAATCAAATACTTCTCTGCCTTCCTCTGCTCGCCAGAAGGAGATGAGCGGGGCAGAAGAGACTCGAACCGTCATTATGTGGAGCTGTCCCCAAATTGGGGTAATTTTGGGGGTCCCATGATAAGGCTTATAGTATTTTGAGATCCTGTCTCGGGGCCCACTTACTTTGGGAAACTACCTTGTGAGCGCACTTGTTCACTTGCATTAGGTGAGGCACCGTTTCCAAAGCAGAATGCCGCCACCATGCCCGTCTGCCGTGCGGCCAAAACGATTCAGCATGTGATCCTTGGCGGTACAACATTCTTTATGAGAACGTTCATTTCCAGCATGGCCTGCCTCATGCCCAAAGGGTTTAGGGCTTTATCGCTTAGGGCTTAGGGTTTATGGTTTAGGGCTTAGGGTTTAGGGCTTAGGGTTTATGGTTTAGGGCTTAGGGTTTAGGGCTTGTGGGCTGATCTTACGAGGCTCCGGATTGGTCCCACCCATGGAGCTGCAGATCGTCACATGGCTGACGCCGGCAGACAGGGCCGCATCGATTTGGGACTTCCTGGCCAAGCTGGCGGGGCAAAACACACCTGAGGATATGTACAAGTCGTAACATTGGGCCATTGGGGGTGTGGCTTTTCAGGTTTCCCCATCGCTCTACAGGTCTTAGCATCTTGTGTGAGATTGTTTTTGTTTTTTGGGGAGTGGTGGTCGCTTTTCAGTGGCTTCCATCGCTCTACAGGGTTTTGAGCTGGCAGGTGGTTCTGTCAGGAAGGGCCCACTAGCTGTAAATTGGGTTACGAGTTGGGGTAAATATCGCTATAAACTCCATAAACTGTAGTTATAGGACTTATAAGATCTTATAAGTATAATTATGTCACTAGGGGCCCCCCCCTTGTAAGTTCAATGCTCCTTCCTTGGCAGAACTAGCTCGGCATCTGGATTCACACGCTCCCTAGCCCCCTATACCCTACCCCTTGTTTAGGATACCTGACTTCAGTTAAGGGTTTAGGGTTTAGGCAGGGTAGTTTACATAAATTTCAACTCTCAATTTAAGGCCATGTTTGGTACTACCCCCTATATAAGCCACAATTTAGGGTGAGGTCGGGTGAGGTCGCTTTAAATTGCTCAGTTTAGGGTCTTCTATATACAAAATTCGGTAGACCCTAAACCCTAAACGGTTATTTGGGGTTTAGGGATTTGAGATATACTGCCCCAATAATGGAGAATCAGGTGGAAAAGAACATGGAAAATGAAATGGGAACTGAGTTTGTAGGGATTGGGGTCTGCCAAAATTAGGGATACCTCTTTGGCCGGCCTCATAAGAAGGATTATAGTATTTTGAGGTCTATACTACGGTCCCTTTATTTTGGGAAACTACCATATGGGTGTTATCCAAAAGTCTTTCATCCCAAAATGACCTCTTCGCGGAAAACCCAGATTCCTTTCGCGAACAGCATTGCGAACTTTCGCGGAAGCATACTTGAAGCAGAAACCAATCATAGAATGCAGAAGCTATATGGGAGTTTCCCTAAATTACTGTTCCCAAAATGGGGGAAATTTATATAGGGCCCCGTATTATAATGGGAACCCAAATATAGGACCCCGTATTATAGGGAATTTAGACCAATCCCCATATCATCTCCCACGGCTCGCAAGGCTATAGGGGCGTGCCCGGCTTACGTGAACTTTCGCTGATCTTTGGTGGATGTTTCGCAATTTCTCGGGTAAGAGTTCTGAGACAAAGCACACGTTCCACAAGCATTGCTTACTGGGGGATCCCTTCATCAGCATACAAGCAGGGAAACGCATGTGACCGCATTTAGAGAGGTATAGCTCAAGATACTTGGTTCGCGAAATCCCAGATTCCTGTCGCGAACACCAGCGCGAACTTTCACGGAAGGCCTTCTAAGACCGCCCATGGTCGCCTTAAAATAAAAACTTCCACACGGAGTGTTCGGGCAACCTCAGGTACTTGAGCTTCTAGGGTGGGCAGGGCACTTCTGACCTGAAGAGCATTCTTGGAATGCAGGATCAACATGATCCTAGGGGCAGGGATCGGGCTGTCCCTACAAGGAATCAAGCTTGATTTCGCTGAAACGCGCAAGGGACACTAAGTTATCTGTCAAGCTGCTGTGCCAGCCAATCCACCAAATAGGGCTGCCCGTCGGGGAATCCTGTGCCACGCATTGCGCATTATCAGTGCAGCACCCATCAGACAGTACTGCACTGAGAACTCATTTCGCAGGGCGCTGAGGTGCACGATGCTTACCCGATTTTGCTATCATCCGCTCAGTCTACAAGCTTTGGCTTCTCAAGCGCTTCATGCGGTGACCATCAGATCTCATCGTGGACAAGATAGATATTCCAAGCTGCTCATATTGGGACGCCCTGTCTCGGCATTGACGCCACCTGCGGCTGCAAACTGCCACCCTAAACAATGCCGCCTACCCCTCAGACCTTTTTGACAGAAGCTGCTTCATGTCAGGTGTGGGCAAAGCACCTCACCTCAGGTAAAGGTCGTGTGTAGTTGGCGGAGTTGCGGCAAGAGCGATACCTCAAAATCCTGACAGTGCCAGCCTGTGGGCTTCACTTTGGCCGAACTTCCAATGACCAGCGCAGCGCAGCCTGGCAGAATAGTAATAGGAATGATAACAACAACAATACTATCAATAACAACAATACTAACTGTAAATGCAGAAGTAATGATAATGAAAAATGTTAATCATCCTCTATTAAGAAGAATCATAATTTTGATTCAGGCTGAGACCCTAGATCCCATACCTAAGCCCCCTTCCCTCCCGGCCAGCCAGGGCAGCCGCCAGTGCGCGCCCAGCAGTGCCCTGCGGCTCCTTCGCAGCCTCATATAATGTTTGGGGTGGATGAGGATATATGTGCATATGGGGTCAATTGGTCCCTCAGCCCACCTAGATTTTGCAGACGTGCTCGAATCGATCTGCACTAGATGCTCTGGCTGTTGTGAGATGCTGATGGTCATTTGTCCGCACTATCCCAGGATGGATTCATGATCACCCAAACCCTAAACCCTTGATGTCTCACCCCAAACCCTAAACCCCAGCAGTAATCTCTCAGGTTCTCGTAGTCGGTCGTGAGCGTTTGTTCAAAGCGCTGGCAAACTCTAGAACTTGAGATCAACAAAGCTGAACTCAGTATCTTACAGCGGGGAGCAAGACAGGAGTCCATGGGGTAAGTTCTCAAGGGAACTTGCAGTCTACCTGTGGAGTCATGGAGCGCAGACAGTATGGCTATGTGCCCTTTGCTTGAGCAACAGGACATCAAAATGATCAGCCATACAGGTACTGGCGCCTCCGCCAGGTCAACAACGACGACCTGACACAGGTATTCCAGTTGTCTGTGCAGTCGCAACAAGTGAGCGGGGATCAAAACCCTT